ATATATATATATATATATATATATATATATATATATATATAAAAACTACTTGGGGAGACAGCTCCATAAATAACTGCCATACATAGTAAGGGTGACTTAAAGCGAAATAAAGATATTCAAGTACTGTCAGATATTAGGGGAAAGAATAATTCTGACTAGAGAATTGGAGAAGGTTTCCCAAAGCAGGTGAGTTTGAGTTGAACTTTAATGGACAAATGAATAAGAATTTATCTGATGAAGAAAGGTGTATAAGGTGAATCAATAGCCAAAACTTGTCTGTGTCCTGTCAAGGTCCTAGATACTTGGAATTTAATTCAATAATAAATACTTCTTTTGAGGTGAGAGGGCATCAGTATTTTTAATCATCTTGATTTTCATTTAATAATGTATAGTACTAATGTTCTTCCTTCACTAGGTTTTATAAAAATGAAAAATGGAACCTTTCTGGGTTTAAATTTCATCAGCTTTTATTTTCTTTGTCTCTTAGATTAGGTCCCAAAGAGCAAAATCAAAGATGAGCTTCCCATGGGAAGGAGGAGAAAGAAGTGGTTAGTCCCCTTGTTGTTTAAGAATTTTCCTTCTGTAATTCAGATTGAAGAAAGATGATTTCTTAGCACTTTAAAGAAACGCCTTGGGGCTTCCCTGGTGGCGCAGTGGTTGAGAGTCCGTCTGACGATGTAGGGAACCCAGGAACATGGGTTCGTGCCCCGGTCTGGGAAGATCCCACATGCCGCGGAGCGGCTAGGCCCGTGAGCCATGGCCGCTGAGCCTGCGCATCCGGAGCCTGTGCTCCGCAACGGGGGAGGCCACAACAGTGAGAGGCCCGCATACCGCAAAAAAAAATAATAATAATAAACGCCTTAAAAAGAAAAAAATCTGCTTATCCATAAAGTACTAGGTTAATCAGATTTGTCTGCTTCTTGGCTGCTTTGACTTTATGCTTTTTTTCTCTCTTTCTTTTTTATAGGGTTGCTTTGTGTTTAAGCCAGACTTCAAGAAGAGAAAGATCTCTGTGCCAATAGGTAAGATGTCTTAATATCAGATTTGTTAGTTTTCCTCCCCTAAGTCTTGAACCAACCTAACTCTCATTGAATTAGTAATTCTCCTGTCTAAGCTTGCCTTACTCACCACGTTGATATAGCAGTAATGTTCCAAGGCATAGGACAGAGCGATAAGGGGCACTCCCCAGGGCTCTAATCTAAAAGGGAATCCAAATGTACCATCAAAAGGCAATTCGAAATTTCCTTCAAAAGGTATGTCACCATTCTTTAAAAGAGAGATTGTCTTAAAAATCTCAGTGATTTCTTGGGATGAGGTAGGGAGTATTGACTGCAGAAGGGCAGAGGGACCTTTTGTTTTTTTGGCTGCGTTGGGTCTTAGTTGAGGCATGTGGGATCTTTTGTTGTGGTGCGAGTTCTTCGTTGTGGCACACGGGCTTCTCTCTAGTCGTGTCGTGTGGGTTTTCTCTCTCTAGTTGTGGCGTCTGGGTTTTCTCTCTCTAGTTGTGGCGTCTGGGTTTTCTCTCTCTAGTTGTGGCGCGCGGGCTCCAGAGTGCGTGAGCTCTGTAGTTTGTGGCATGCGGGCTCTCTCGTTGAGGCGTGCAGGCTCAGTAGTTGTGGTGCGCGGGCTTAGTTGCTCCGTGGCACGTGAGAATCTTAGTTCCCCGACCAGGGATTGAACCCGTGTCCCCTGCATTGGAAGGCAGATTCTTTACCACTGGACCACCAAGGAAGTCCCAAGAGGGACTTTTGGAGTGATGGGAATGTTCTGTAGACAGAGGATGGTTATGTGAGTGTATACCTTTGTTAGGACATATCAAACTGTTAAAATGGGCATATTTTATTATTTGTAAGTTATACCGCAGTAAAATTAGATTATTAAAAAAAATATTGTCTTTACGTTCTTTACTTATCTCCAGATGTCTGTTTAGTGATCAAGTTAAGAAGACTTGACTACTTCAAACAAATCAAGATGTTATTATCAGTCAGAAAATGTTTATTGTACTGTTTCTCAATGGGGCCTGCAGATTAGAATCACTTGGGGAACTTTTAAAAAAAAACTGATATATTGTGTTTTTTGGTATAATTGTAGATTCACATGCAGTTGTAAGAAAGAGTGTAGAGAGTAGAGAGTACCCTTGAACCGTCACCCAATTATCCCCAGTGATAATGTATTGCATGACTATAGTACAGTATCATAACTAGCATACTGACAGTGGGATAATCCATCGACCTTATTCGATTTCAACTTGGAGAGTTTCTTAAAAACACCAATGCCCAAACCGCTGCCCAGACCAACTGAATCAGTATCTTTGGGAATGGGACCCAGGTGTTGGTATTTTTTAAAAGCTCCTCTAAGGCATGTTGAGTATTTACACTCACTGTTCAGCACTGTGAAGATTAATTCGGATGGAAAAATTATGATGTGCAATTAAGCATATTCACTCACACTCATTTTTAAATTTTGAATTAAAAAAGAAAAACTGGACTATACTATTGTTTGACTAAGGAGATAAACAGCTCCAATATATAGAATTGGATTTTTCTAAATCATCTCATGATGTAGACCTTTAAGGTGTTAATCCTTCAATTTGAGACCAGCTAGGTAAAGTACCTGTGCTCAGGGAGCAAATAATAAAATAATGGTCCATATTGAGGGCAATAGAGGGTAGAAACTATGATTTAAAATAAGGATGCAGTTTCTCATTAACAGGAGGATAAACAGTGGCGTTGAACTTTACACTCATAGATTTAGTCTCAAAAAAACCTGAAGCTTTCTATATTCCTTGCCCTCCTCACCTCCCCAAATAAAAAGTGACAGTGATGGACTTGGAAATAGTGAACGAAGAAGAGCTACATTATAAATTATTTTGTTTTTAAGTGATTGACTTATCAACATATTTCTTTAATGTTGGAGATTGCTAAACTTAACTAGAAATAGTTCATTTTCAGAGAAAAATTCAAGACTTGTTCCCCTGTTATCCATGAAGGATACATAGCATGAAATGACATCTGATATCATGAGCAATGTCATTATAACTAATAAAAGCACTAACATTTATTGAGTGTTTTTAATGTGCCAGAATATTTTAAGCACTTTATATGTGTTAAACTATGAAGAAAGTATTATTATTATCTCCATTAAAGTATATCAGGATATTTAGATGTAGAAAGAACTTTCTCAGTAATAGTGCTAGCAAGTGACAGAGCTGGGATTTGAAACCAAGCTGTCTGATCCCAGAGCCTAAGGTCTAACCACTACCTAATAGTGTTTCTCATAATTCAAGGCAAGTTTTTGCTTAGAACTCTTTGTATTGAATTTCAGCTATAATTTATTAAGATTTGTGAGTCAATGACAATTAGAAGGAAAGTTCCTTAACATGGAAGAGAATTTCTGTTCCAAACTATCAGTTAACATTAAAACTTGTTGGGAGGACACTAGCAGCATCTCAGTGAAATCAGGAAAAAATTGTTAATTTTTAACTTTTTGTTTAAAAAATTGTGTACTTTCACAATTATTATTTAATACCATGAAAGTTCTAGCTGTTGCAATAAAATACCTAGCAGCAAACAACAAGAAATATGAAGGAAAGTAGAAAACTATAAGGCATGTAAAGTATTTGATTATAAAAAAAGACACCTGTAGTGTTTTGGGATGTGACTTTTTTGAAACGTATTTAAGAATGTCATTTTTCCCCAAATCAATCTACAGATTTTATTTTATCCAGTCAAACACCAGGGTAATTAATTTTGAGAAATGACAAATTTAATTTGGGAGAATGTCTTAAATTTTTAAAAATTTATTTATTTATTTAGGTCTGTGTTGGGTCTTCGCTGTTGCGCATGGGCTTTCTCTAGTTGCAGCGAGCAGGGGCTACTCTTTGTTGTGGTGTGCGGGCTTCTCATTGTGGTGGCTTCTCTTGTTGCGGAGCACGGGCTCTAGGTGCGCGGGCTTCAGTAGTTGTGGCATGCAGGCTCAGCGGTTGTGGCGTGCAGGCTCAGCTGTGGCGCATGGGCTTAGTTGCTCCGCGGCATGTGGGATCTTCCCGGACCAGGGCTCGAACCTGTGTCCCCTGCATTGGCAGGTGGATTCTTAACCACTGGGCCATCAGGGAAGCCCTTAAATTTTTTTGAAAGAGAATAATGTTTGGTGGCGCTGGGAGGAAGCTCTGGATCTGTTGGATGTTAGGATGCACTACAAAGCTCTAACAGTTACAGGAGTTCAGGACTGCCATGGGAGTAGAACTGGATTCAGTAGAACAAAAGAAGTTCAAAAACAGTTTCAAGTGCATATGTAAGTATTCAGACAATAAGGGCATCTGACATGGGTGGGAGAAAGGACGGATTATCCAATAAGTGCATCTCTTTCAAACTGAAAGTTATAACCCAAGTGTGCGTCATGAAATCAGTTTAGTGGATCTTGATAGTTTTAAAAAACAGAAGAGAAAACATTTGCTGTCGCATGATAACGAGAAGTATTGTTTTATGGGACTTCTGTTTTTGTTTTTTGTAGATTCACGTGTATTGGATTATGACGTAAAATGTGTTCCTTAATGTGGATCATGGTTTAAAGTTTGAAAACCATTGCAATAAATAGTGTGTTGATAAATGGCTAATCATTTAGAGGAAGCCATTCAAGAAGGTTATAAAATACAGACTAAATAAAAGGCTGCACTAAACTATTTCAGCTAAGCAAAGAATAAGAATAGTAGTAATAAGAATCATTTAATAAAGGAGAGTTCAAAGCAAATATGTGAAGCAAAGTATACAGAGCCTTAGCATAAGAGCAGATAATGAAAATACATTAATATTAAATGTATATACCTCAAACCAAAACCATTAAGAAGTTCAAAAGTAAATGATAGAAATACAGTCGAAAAATTAAAAAGATTTTTAAACTTACAAATACCATTAATATAGTAAAAATATAAGATATATAAATAAAATTAAATATAAAGGATATTGAATGTTACCTATCCCCAAACTTGTAAAAAAAAATTCAACCCATCACTTACTTTGCACAGAGATTTTCTATTATTATGTAAAAAAGAAACTGACTTATTTCCTTCTGTGTTTTTAGAGGACTATTTTAATAAAGGGAAAAATGAGTCTGAGGACAGTAAGCTTCGCTTTGAAACTTACCAGTTGATATGGCAGCAGATGAAATCTGAAACTGAGGTGAATACTTTTTTTTAATAGCTTATCATTTCCTTAATATCATAAATCTCATATTTGTTCCTTCCCATTTTCCTTTCTACCAGTTTATAAGAGTGTTGATGAAATATATGTAATCTTGGTTAAGCGTAATCTGTATATCCTAAAAAAAATTAAAAACCCTTATGTTTCAATTATTAAGCATAGCTTCAGGTATTGGAACATACGTTTATAATTATCGCTGCTAACGCACAGGCCCTTTACATATCCTCACAGCTTTCAAATGGTGGCACTCCTTTAATTATCCATTCAGTTACACAAGTAAGAAATCAAGCTATTTGTAAACCACTTCATTCCCTCATCCTCATATTCAGTTACCATGTTCTTTATATTTCAGCCCTGAAAAGTTTCTCCGCTATAGCAGATTTGTAGATGTAGGGCCAACATTTTGAGGGAACTTGTTTTGTTCGACCAACACAGGATTGTGTTTCCTGTTTTTTAATGCCTTTGGAGGGTTATGCACTTTCCAGTTTGTTACTCCTTCCCACCACTCTCTACTGCTTTACACCTGGCGGCTTTGCCCCTTCATGTATTCCTTAGAACGCTTGAAGTAATTTGGGTTTGTGATTTCTAGTTTAGGAAACCTAAATGGTCATAATAGATTGTAATAGTCTCCTCTTAACTGATGTCCCTGCCTCTGATGTCACACCCTTCTGGTCTGTCATTAGTCCCTATGCCACCATTGGCCAAATCCCATCAGGCAGATCCAGGCTACAGGGGTTTTCCAGCCCCACTACCAGTACAGCCCCTCCAGTCCCCTCCAATCTGGCCTTCATAGTACTGCCAGGTGAACCCTTCTTAACCTTGATTTAATCATGCCTCTGCTCCAAATCCCTTTAATGGTTCTCCCCACAGTACAAAATCTAAACCGTTTAACATCAAATATATATTTCCTTGGTACAGTCCCTTGAGTATTTGTCCAGCCTCGTTCCTGGCCACTTCTCATGTTCTTATTCTTAGCTATATCTGTGGTTCCCCAGATGTTTTGTGCTTTCTTCCTTGATTGCCTCCTCCACTCCCCATTCCTTAACTTTCTTTCGTCCACCATCACCTCCTGCATCACTTGCTCTAATTCTTTGGCTCAAATATATCACCTGATCAGCTTAAGGTGGATGATCCTACTCTTTGTTCCTATATTATCATAGCACTCTATGCAATGTATTTCAATTTAATTGTAAGTGTTCTAGCTCATTTTTTTCACTTTTTTTAGGGAAGAGACTCTTTCATTTGTAAGGTGGTTAGTAAATGTTTGTTGAATGAATAAATGAGATTCTTTAAGGAGGGAATTCAAAGCACTGCTCACTGGAGATTTAAGGAAAAACAATTTTTAATTACATCTATCTTATAATTATTTTACATGTGATCTTTGGAATTGAAATCATGACAGTTTCCTTTCCCAAACTTGGAGAGATGTATCAGATTACTGCTAAAAATAATTCATAAAGTTTTGTGGGTTTTTTTGTAGCGACTACAAGAGGAATTAAATAAAAACCTGTTTGACAGTCTAATTGAATTTCTTCAGAAGTCTCATTCTGGGTTCCAGAAGAATTCAAGAGACTGGGGCTGTCAAATAAAACTCAGAGAAATTCCAACTGCTGCTCTTGTTCTAGGTACATATGTGTGTGTTTGTTTTTTGTAATAGTGGTTTTGTTGTTGAGAATAGTGGGAATCACCTGTTCTGATAAACTTGTTTTGTCTTTTTCATTTACAGAATTAAACCAATTAAAGTTTGCATACTTCCAAAACCAATAAAAGTTCCTTATACTGACCATACATCTGTAAATTAAAAGAAATTGATTTAGGGTTAGTTAGTACCCTCCTCACCTTTTTGTCAGAAAAATGAAGGGGAAATATATTTGTGTTACTCTTTCTTCCTTAGTTATTTGAATCTGAGATTTGAATTCAGTAATAAAGAAACTACCAGTATGTTGATAGATACAATTTTTATACTTTATCATATCTTCAATGAAATTACTCTTTGACCTTAATTTTATTTCCCTGTGCTTATTTTTTCAATCTTGGATTGTTTTGTAATGTTGTATTAATATTTGGTGTGAAGGGGGTTTGGATGAACTATATATAAGTTGCTTTCAGATTGTAGATTGTAAACTTTTTACATACTTAAGTATCCATCATTAATATCCCATTTTAACCAAACATCTGGATTGCATGATAATGGAAAAATTTTCTTTGGAATATTAGCAAATTTTCTTCATTCCTTCTGAAAGGAAAGTTGGATTTCTTTGGATTCCAAACATACTCCTCATTGTATTTCCAATTTGTTGTTTATTCAAGGTTTTTATACTAGTGAGCTCTGAGATAAGAAATTAATTCTGTTGTTTAATACTGCCTCTAATACTGTTCAATAGCTAAATCTTATTCCTGATACTCAGGGCAATACTTCTCAAACCTTAATGATATCTACAGATAACCTCCAGGAGATCTTAGTAAATAGAGATTTTCGTTAATAGGTCTAGGGTGGGGATGGAAACTGCATTTCTAACAGGCTTCCAGGTAATGCCCATATTGCCAATCCCAGGATTCCTCTGAGTAACAAGACTCCAGGGAATGATTTTTATAATGCTGTGGACCAGCTTTTCAGTGCAGCCTGCCACTTAATTTCAAACTCTTTCCATTTATGGATGAGAAACTGAGGCCCAGTGATGGCTGGCTTGTACTGTTGGGTGCTTTGTTTCTCTCCCGCCAGGTTACAGCAATTGGAAGTAGAGTGGGGGAAACACAGTCAAGAGGGAGGGCCTGATAGATTGTTGTGAGATAACTGTTTAAATCCCTTCTCTGCCTGCTGTCATAAGGAGAAAAGAAGCTAATGGAAATCATAAGTTTCAAAGTCAGTGGTCTGAGGAGAACATTTTTCCAGTTGAAGACATTGTTGATTATCTTATTTTCAATAGGCAAATCCATTGTTTTAAGGAACATAGTGTTAAATAGCTAATAAAGTCTGTCAGTGAAAGACAAGAGAAGCCAATGTTTTATTAAACTCCCAAATTTGTTCAGTGATGCAGTATCACATTCCTAGACCATAATGTGTGCTAAATACCATTTTGATATCTGTACTCAAAGAATACTTATACAGTTACACAGTTACACATTTTCTGTTTTCAAAAACGTATATATGTCCATTTTAAAATAGCCGGCCTGCATTTTTATTTGTCTCCTAGAAAAATAATTTGCTTACTGGTGGTCTGGAAGATTCTGAACCTTTTCTTTTCCTTCCAAGCACTTGAAGTTTTTGTTGTTGTTGTTGAATTTTTGAATTTTATTTTATTTTTTTATACAGCAGGTTCTTATTAGTTATCCATTTTATACATATTAGTATATACATGTCAATCCCAATCTCCCAGTTCATCCCACCAGCACCCCCTCCCCGCCACTTTCCCCCCTTTGTGCCATACGTTTGTTCTCTGCATCTGTGTCTCTTATTTCTGCCCTGCAAACCGGTTCATCTGTACCATTTTTGTAGGTTCCACATATATGAATTAAAATACAATATTCCAAGCAGTTGAAGTTTTATAGTAGCAAGTCTCAAGCAGTTTCAAGATGTCTGCTGCTGGCACTAAAGCACTTTCTAAGCACCAAAGCACTTTCTAGAAGTCACAGATTGTGACATTAGGGAAGGTATCAGTGAATAGAATTTTTTCCAAAGTAGTGGGGAAGTTTCCACTCAACTCTGATACCTGCATGCAGAGCACTAAAACTGATTTGTGGAAATGAGAACCAGGGATTCAGTAAATACTTAAAGGACTTAAAGTTTTAATTTGTTTTTAGACTCTTCCCCTAGTATACACTTACCTTTTGTATTTACTACTAAGATCATTAATAGAATTGCTATTAATGATTGGATTCTTCTCAGTTGTTAAGTCAGGGTCACAGTAAGGCCCTTGTTTTTGAATGATTATTTTAAAGAGCTCTTTATGAATTTGAAATTGCTTTTAAAATGTTTTCAAGGGTCAACTACACATCCCCAGTAGATTTTTTTTTAAAAAGTCGTGCTAAATACCTTTCCTGATAAGTATAGTGTGTGCCTCTATATTTATCTTTTTAATGGAGAGCTCTTCATTTATGCAGTATGTTTTCTTAGTTTCTATTATTAATCATGTTTTTAAAATATTTTAACTTATGACATGTTAAATGGCTTTTCTTGTTGTTAAATTATTAATGATAAAAATGATGGTGTAATATTGATTTATTATCCCATAGGTGTGAATGTAACAGATCATGATTTAACATTCAGAAGTCTAACAGAAGTCCTTCAGAATAATGTTACTCCATATGTAGTTTCATTGCAAGCTAAAGATTGCCCAGGTGAAGTATAAATGCTATAACAACCTTGATGAGATGTTACATATCTCTTCCGTCCGTCCATCTCTCTAGCTTTCTTTATCCTTTTTTATTTGCGGGAGGAGCATGGCATTACATTTTTGGCAGGATGAGGTTTAGTGCCTCTGGCGTAATCTTGCCTATTGCAGGACTCTGCCGCTTTAGCTTATTCTGGCCCCACCCCTACCAATCAGCTTCACCTCCAGTAATAGTCCAGGCACTCACAAGATGTTTTCTGAACCCAGTAAAATTCTAATAAGTTTAATAAGCTGAGGATCTCTTATTTAGCCCAACAGAGAAGAGACTACATACATAGGCTCATATATACAGCCTCAAATCATCTTATTATCCCACTTTGAAAGGCCACCGTGGTAAAAAGCAGTCCATTGCCAGAGCTAATCTTGGGTATCTGGAGCCATTAAATCATAAAGGATGTGGACACTAATAGAGTAAAATGTACTTAGATTTGGGCTGATACAAGGGCTTTAAGTGCTTATATTTATGTTCATATTCATAAACTGTTTGGAATTAAGTAAAAGCCCTTAGGGCATCTTTGAAAATGACTATAAGGAAGAATTGTAATCAGTAAAATAGCTTATGTAAATAACACTGTGGATGTCTTCTTAGGGGTCTTAAAAACCTTTTGCTGTCCAGTGTAATTTAAATACATATTATTCCTAATTTATAGTTTTCATGTTTGCACATTTGTTTAGGTAACACTTTTATTACAGACAATAAACATAAACTTTGGCCTAGTGTTAGTCTGAATGAATGAAATTAAAATATTAGGGAGAGGATACTAATGAACCTCAATAGTTAATATGTTAAATGTTACATTAGGTTAAGTGTAGAAAAACACATTCTACCCAAATAGTGTAATATACTGATCAAGAAGTTTCAGGTGTTTTAGATGTGTTTTAAGGGGATATGCTTTCTTATATTTTATGTTCTGCAGATATGAAACCTTTTTTGCAAAAACTGGCCTCACAGTTGATGGACTGCAATGTAGACGTGCAATCCAAAGAGAAAGAAAGTGTTCAGGTCACCCAGAAAAAGATACATTATTCAATGGATTCTCTTTCCACTTGGTATATGAGTGTCACACAGGTAAATGTAAACTGACAATTTTTTGCCAGGAAATTGGCATATGATTGAAGAGGTCTGGAATTATAGTAAACATAGTACTGTTTTGTTCTAATAAGGATACGTTTATGTGGCACTTGCTGTTAATTTAATAGAAGCTACTTATTTTTCCTAAGGCTACTAGAATTTAGAAATTTTCTTTTATCAGTATGTAGCCTAATTCCTGGGAGGTGTTTAGGTTCTTACTAGGCCATTTTATTTGTGGGAGAATGTCATCTAATGACAAAACAGCATCAGGAATTTGTTCTGCTGCAGATTCTATCTCTGTCTTTATCTTTAATGTCTTTATCTTTAACATATTATCTCTTAGGTTCAGTATTTACTTTGGTGCAGTAGAACCAAAGTACCCACTGTCGACTTAGTTTGGTGAGGAATGGTCATACACACACACACACACACACATGCACACACACATATATAATATATATGTAAATCTCCTTTGCTCCATGTTTAGAATTCTTGAGGAATAAATGCTCTGTAAGTAAAGTATGTTTAACAAGCAGATACATAAATAGAAGTCTCATTCTACCATGACAGTCTCTGGTGAAACTAAATAACCTAGATGATTCATGGATAACTGCACCATAAAACCACAGCCTTAGTTTATGATGCTGTGTAGCCAGATAGTATGGGAAAAGTTACTGTGGTGACATTTTCTGCAGAACGTATTTGCTGAAGTCATCATAAGTGAAGTTTATTTTGCTTTATATAGGGACTAAACTGGGTCTAATGCTTACCATAATATCTTAATTTGATCCACAGTTTTAGATTTTTCTAGAAATCAAATACTCCCTGCAATTTAGGTCAGAAATCTTTAAAAGATTGGGATTGGACCAGATGACATTTAAGATGCTTTTCAACTTGAAATTTCATAATAGTAGAGCAGCATGTAGTGTTATTCATTACAGTTTTTAATGAAAAATACTGGTTCTCACTCTAAAGCAAAGCAAAAGATAACATTGAACTAACAGAAAATCAATTTTATAGAAAATACTCTCGTCTCCCCGTGCTTTTCCTGTCATTTTCTCAGATAGCAGAAAATATAAATATTTCATATGAGCTATAGATTTTACTGAACGTTTTTCTTCTTGGTTATTATTCCCATGTCAGACACAGAAAGATTCTGCTAATAACTGTTGAAATGAATTTCTCTTTATTATGTGGGAGAAATAAAAGAAACAATGTTACTGTGAAATATGATGGAAGATGTATCAACTTGTGGCATTATAACATTGTTTGGGTAGTAAAGTTTACTTTTAACTCCTTCTTTCCACAATGGCTTAAAAGAAGACTGACGTAAAAATGCCAAGAAAAAAGAGGACTCCTAGCCAATGGCAGTCTCCTCCTGTTGTGCTTATCTTAAAGGATATGGAAAGCTTCACCACAAAAGTACTCCAAGACTTTATAATTATCAGCAGGTAGATGGCATATCTTCTGGCTTTTTTCGCAAAATTCTTCTTATTAAGAAAACATACAACTTTAATCAAAAAGCAACCTTTTGCAGAGAAAATGAGTAGCAGTTTAACCCTCATTTTAATACTAATGGATTGAAACCAGGATGATTTCAAATTCCTTATAAAATTGAATGTTTGAACACCTCCTATACGATTTTCATTTGCTTTTTGATCCAAAAATGAGAATCAAAAGTTAACTAGTTTTTAATTAGAATGATAAGGCAGTATAAAGTGTAGTTTCTCTTACCAAAGTTGTCTGTTTCTTACTTGCCCGCTAGATGGATGAACTACTCCAGGTTGAGATATTTTTGTCATGTCTTATTTTCTGATACCTGTCCACCCTTAGAAGCTGAGTTACATATGGCTCTACTGAGCATGAATGTTTTTTTAAATAACATTATTTTATATGGTATTTCTAATGAGAAACTACTTTTATGATCTTATTGGGTCTTCAAGGAAATCCTGTGAGACTTGGAATTGAAGTAAAAACCCTATTTTTTACAAATTTTATTTATTGTTTATTTTTGGCTGTGTTGGGTCTCTGTTGCAGTGCGCAGGCTTCTCCTTGCAGTGGCTTCTCTTGTTGCGGAGCATGGGCTCTAGGCGCACAGGCTTCAGTAGTTGCAGCACACGGGCTCAGTAGTTGTGGCTCATGGGCTCTAGAGCACAGGCTCGGTAGTTGTGGCTCACGGGCTTAGTTGCTCCGCGGCATGTGGGAACTTCCCAGACCAGGGATCGAACCCGTGTCCCCTGCACTGGCAGGCGGATTCTCAACCAGTGTGCCACCAGGGAAGCCCTAAATAACCCTATTAAAAAACCCAGTGACATGCTTTTCCCATGGTACATTTTTTACAATATAAATTAATTTGGTTTCTTCGGTATGTTAACTTGCTTAATAGTTACGGCTACATTTGCCTAAAGCTGTATTGTGTGATAATCTAATAATAATTCCTACTTTGATAGTCTTTTTTTTCCCCATTTGAAACTAAGATTTCCAGATCCTAAGACTTTTCTTAATGCTAACACTGAACTGATTAACATGCTGAAAAAATGCACAGTACAGAATAGTGACAGAAAAGCTGTGCTTTTTTGGAACTCAGACTTGTGACTACTTTTACCATCAAAAGTAAGAAAGAAGAACTTAAACAGTAAGATAGTTCAAATACTTCAGTACTATGAAAGTAGAACTGCATACAGCTAGAATACTGAAAAGCAATAGCTAATAAGAGGGAACAAGCAAAATTATCAGCTACGATACAGAGGGCTCTGACCTACAATAGCCCTTAGGGATATTGATGTTTTACTCTGTGGAAGTCATTTATGTTCATATTGGTAATGCTAAGAATAAATCATGTTCAATAAGTTTGAGATAAGACTGTGGGGAAAGAATGGAATATTTTTTTAAATGATGTCCATTAAAAATATCTTACCTATTTGTAAGAAAAGTTTTCTAAAGCTTAGCTGTTATGCTGGGGTGACATAGTGTCTGTTAGAAACGTCCATAAATAGAATAAGTTACCTTGAAAATTAGTGACCTTCATGTTACTGAACTCTTAAAGCATAGTCTAGATGTCTAACTGTGAGGAAGACTGTAGGTAGGGCTCAAACTTTGGGCGAGAGGATGAATAGAGGATGAATAGCATCTAACACCTCTTCTAACACTTGTTTTTGTATAACCTTAGAGGGAAGCAGTTGATCTTTCTGGACCACTATGTTCTTATTGCTAAAATGAGAGGATCTATTAATAGATTGATTTCAGAGCTAGAATGTCTGGGAAATAACTATTTCTGTGTTACTGTAACAGAGGAAAATGAGTGACCTAAAAATTTTTATTATTTAGAATGATCTTCCTTAGCAATGTCTTATAAAGTAGGCCTGAAAATAAAGGTGGTCTTATTTTAAACCATGGTGTATTGAAATATATTTGCTAAAGACATTCCACTTTTGCATCTTCCTTTGAAAAACTAGTCAGCATCTACATGAATTTCCACTAATACTCATTTTTGGAATCGCCACGTCTCCTGTTGTCGTCCATCGGTTGCTTCCTCATGCAGTATCATCTCTATTGTGTATAGAACTATTCCAGTCTTTGTCTTGCAAGGAGCACCTGACTACAGTACTTGATAAGGTAAAAAGAAAAAATGTTACCAGTGAAATAGGATGAAAAGAAAACTGCCATGGACAGTTTATAAATGTTAGTGATAAATTTCTCAGTATGATATTGTATATATTCCTTCACATATTTTACTATTTTTATTTAATGATTTTCTCATGTATAGTATTACCTCTTCACTTAAAATATAAGCTTTATGAAAAGAATGATCATATCTTTCTATATCTACCTACCTATTTATCTATCAACCAGTCATTACTCAATAGAAACTTACAGGTTTTTAAAATAAATTTTTGCAGAATTTAATGACTTCCTAGTAGCAATAACAATGTTTTCACCCTTACTTTTTTTTTTTTTTTTTTTTGCGGTATGCGGGCCTCTCACTGTTGTGGCCTCTCCCGTTGCGGAGCAACAGGCTCCGGACGCGCAGGCTCAGCGGCCATGGCTCACGGGCCCAGCCGCTCCGTGGCATGTGGGATCTTCCTGGACCGGGGCATGAACCCGTGTCCCCTGCATCGGTAGGCGGACTCTCAACCACTGCACTACCAGTGAAGCCCCACCCTTATATTTTATATTAAATGATTTGAAGTTTTTCATGGACTCTTTCCTGTCATACTGCTCGTGACAAAAAGTAAATACCAATGCCTTCCCAGACCTTACCTCTATGTTTCTACCTAAGTGGAAATACTGTTCTTTAGTAGTGACCTTCCATGAACTGTTGCTAAACTCACCTCCTTGAAGATGTCCTTTGTGCTGCTCTGTAAGGTAAACTAACGACCACCTTCCACTTATTTAGTAACCACTTCTGCATTTTTTTCCCTTAAAGGTGGTAGCCACTGACTTTAGGGAAATTTTTTCCAGCTACAGTACTTAAAATTGCTAGGTTGTTTCCAAATTCAGTTGGCCTTCTATCACTGTTTCTGTTTGAAAAGCCTAGTATGACTTTTTGTTTTCAGATTTAAAATCTTCAGTGTAGGCCATTGAAATGCAAATTCAGCTATTTAATATTTTTTAAATAGACACCTGTTAATTTGGGGTTTCTCATTCAACAGTACATAATGTGTTGTTACTCTTTGTTAATGTGCATCAATATGGATGAAAAAGAAATCTAATAAGAATTGCCAAAGCCTACAGCTTCTTCAGTGGCTTCTGTTGGGAGAAAAGAGTTTGTATAGATGATATTTTTTAATAGAATTTTTTAAAATTAGGAATTGAATGAAGGATGATGGATATCTGTGATTCTGAAGATATAGTATGAATAGCTTCTTTTGTTGTTGTTACTGTTGTATAAGTTTATTTAAAATTTTGGTTGATATCTGACCTAAAAAAATCTAGCTACTAGTATAGCTTTCATAGGTACTGTGTTTTGGTATCATTCGTTGCCTCATTATTTATACTTGATGTTTATGAAGAGGGAAGACTAACCAGGAATATGTCCTGCCTCCCTTTTCTCTTTCAGCTACTTCTTACAACTCAATTTCCGTTTAAACTAAGTGAAAAAGTGTTGCAGGTTCTGACCAACATCTTTTTGTATCATGATTTCTCAATCCAAAACTTTATAAAAGGACTTCAGGTAAGAAGACACTAATGGGTTTGAAAATTCGCAAGCTGATTCTAAATAATTTGCATGTTATTTCAGATTGACTTTTTAGTGTGATAATTGGGCATTTTAAATGGCAAAATCTGAATAAGTAAGTTCAAGTTATATTATTCTAGATTCTATGGTTCCTTTGTTACTTTGCAGCAAAATGTAGAGAATACGTTAATTAGAATATCTAAAATGGAAAAAGACCTCTCCATTCCAGTGATTCTTAACCATTTGGGGGTGAGGAGGAAGGGACCTTTATTTTTGAGAATCTGATGAATGCTAATGGACTTTCTACCTAGGAAATGCTATATATAAGGGGTCAGCAAACTTTTTCTCTAAAGGGCTAGACATTAAATATTTTTGGCTTTGCATGCTACATGTGGTCTCCGTTGAAAGTCTTGTTCCTTTTTTTATTTTTAATTTTTTTTTGTGGTACGCGGGCCTCTGACTGCTGTGGCCTCTCCTGTTGTGGAGCACAGGCTCCGGACGCGCAGGCTCAGCGGCCATGGCTCACGGGCCCAGCTGCTCCGCGGCATGTGGGATCCTCCCAGACTGGGGCACGAACCCGTGTCCCCTGCATCGGCAGGCGGACTCTCAACCACTGTGCCACCAGGAAAGCCCTTGTTATTTTTTTAAAATAACCCTTTATAAAGGTATAAAAATAATTCGTAGTTCCTGGACCATACAAAAATAGGCTATGGGCTCTAGTTTGCTGTGCCCTGCACGTATGTGTGTGTGTTCATTTATATTTATTCCTATATATTGTGAATGGATTTTCACTAAAGTTTCATAAATTTCAAGAAGAAAATTCATGAACTTAGCTTCATAACACCTAATCTAAAAAAGGACTCCATTCTCCAGTTGTTTCAAAGTCGATAGTATTTCCTTCTTTCGGCAACTACCTAAAATAACTTAGCAAAGTATAGTCGTGAACACATGCCGGTTGTCAGGTTCATGAAAACCTATGTATTAGTAACCTTCAGTACAAAAGTGCAATATGGTAATACCTCATGTTTGTGTAGTGCCTTGAAGATTATAAGTTATTTCTCATATGTGTTCTTCCTCTACATTAAACACTATAGTATTTTATTACATAAGAGTATTAGCTGTTATGGCTAATATGTATCATTTTTTTCAACTTAGACTTTTTAAAAAGAGTATTTTAAAGCAAGAAAATATTTACCTTAGCAATATGCAAAATTAAATGAAATTGAGATGTAACTTTCTAATTTATTTCTCTCATTCATTTCATTTTACTCATTTGTTTATTTACTCATGAGTGTTTATCACGGGTCTACTGTAAGTCAAGCACTAAGCTGAGCCCTGGAGATACAGAGGACCAAGAAATCTCTGTCTTCAAATTGCTTATTTAGTGAAGCAGGCAGAAGAGTAGAATGGCAGTTACTGTTCTGAGTAGTCAGTGCTGTTAAAGAAACATGCCTGGGGGTCCATAGGAGAACAGAAGTGTATCCTAAGGAACAGGAGCTAGCTGGGTGAAAATTGGAAAGGCCACAGTAGAGGGAGAGACCTCTGTTAGAGGGCTACTGCAGTTACCTAGATAAGATACAACAGGGGCGAAACAGGTAGTGATAGTGGGACTAGGCAGAAGGAAACAGATTTGAAGATGAGATAGAATCTTGTTACTCGGTGGATGATAGGGTGAGTAAGAGAGGAGCATCTTACAGACACACAGGTTCTAGCTTGGCAGATAGTTTGGAGGTTGGTACCCTTTATTAAGTGTACATGTTAAAGTAAACAGCCAGTTTGTCAGAAAAGGATGAGTTTCTTTTTATGTATGGTAAGTTTAGGGCATGTGGGATATAAAGGTTTGGTACCCAGGAGAAAGATCTGGACTAGAAATACTTAGAATTTATCATTAAAAGGTGGTGGTTGAGGCTGTGTAATGAGGATGAAGTCACCTAGAGTGAGGAAAGGACCAGGAGTAGAGCCCTAAGGCAAGCTGACTGTGTGAATGAGCAACAGAAAAGGAGACTAAAAACAACAAGGAAAACCAATAGAGGGGAGAGATCACTGAAGTTAAGGGAAAAGAAAATATAAACTGTAGGCTCAAATACCATTGAGAGAGTGAGTGAAGAAAAGCATATTAACCAGATTACTTAATCTTTCTGTTTCTCAGTTTTCTCATCTGTAAAATGAAGGGATCTGATTAGATGATTTTATAGGTTCCTGATAATTTTTTTATGCTAGGCATTTTACTGAGTATTAACATTGCTTCATTAATATGTATTATTCTCAGTTTTGCACTTGGAGAAACAAAGGCTTAGGTTAAGTAGCTTGGCCAAGGTCACACAGCTAATAAGTGGCAGTCTTTAGACCCCATTTGTCTAGTTTTCCTAATCATCAATGGGAAATATGTGTAAGTTTTTACTTCTCTGTGGAAGGTGCAGTAGGGCATATAATCATTCGGTATATGGTTGAGTCCTTCCCTTATTAGGTGGATATGTTAACCAACTTGTTAATTGACCCAAATATTGGGAACACACTTGGACTGAATAGTTAAGTGTTACTGGGTTCTTGTCCTATCTGTAGCTCTGCTGTAACTCATGTGACTTAGTCCCTTTCCTCCTCCCCAGCAAGTCCGTTATCGTGTTTGGTCTTTACTTTTCTCATGTTTAAAAAGTAGTGTTAACATTGGAATAAATATTATCACATTAATATAATTGGAAATATATAAGTAAGAAATAAGATCATGTTGATATGTGCAAAAATACTTCAGCACCTGGCATGAACAGTTGCTTTCTATTTTGTACTTGTTTCTAAGTTAGGCTGGCCCTTTGCCTTATAGCCTTATTTTGGAGGATGGACTATTTTGGACTATTTTGGAGGATTTCCTCTTGCCTTGGATATCTGGTCTTCAGCTCTACAGGCTCAGAAATTCATTATCAGTTTACCCAGGAAGGATCAAGCTCAAATACCTTAAGACTGATATATAAGCTAGCATGTTAATTTATTAATTTGTGATGTGGAATGCTATTTTCCAGGGACCAGGATGTGTTTTGTCCACAGACAGGGAACTGTCTCTTTGGTACAAGGTATCTGGAAAAACCAAACTTGTCATGAGAAGCTTGCTTAGATTCAGAGCTTTTAACATGTGGATAGTATTGTAAAATATATCTTACAAATTATGGTAGGATCTGGAAAATCAATCACCCTTGTACTGCAGAGACCACAGCATTCTAGACTGGAATACATGTATCTACCAGATACTGTACCATCTTTTCCTCCATGAAATAAAACTGAATTTAAAAAGATACATTTTCTTTGGACGTCCCTCATTTTTCATATTGTTTTTTATCAGGAGGTAAAATTTCTGCTATTGTAGCATTTTTATTTATTTAGCAGACCAGTTTTTACACTGATTCTAGATTGGTATTTTCTTATGAGTATTTGAGCATCTGTTAGGCTATTAGTTCACACCACAGTCACATCCCCACCACATTTACTGTTATTGTAAGTGAGTTGCTCCTGCAGATAGCTAAGTTATTTATATTAGTTTCTTTTAGTTTCTACTTCAGACATTACAATTTTCTGACCTTGTCGACAAAATTGGAGTCTTAAAATATTCAAAGTATATAGCCATTTGTGCGTTATTTGCATTGCTATTGTGACATTATTAAATATAATAGTGCCATAAATATTTTTGCTGTTTAAAAAAACCTTAAAATTGAGCAAACATAGGACAAAAGATTTACTGTCAAAATACAGCAAATATATTTAACTTCCACATTTCTTTCAGCTTTCTCTATTAGAACATTTCTATTCCCAGCCCCTCAGTGTTCTGTGCTGTAATCTCCCAGAAGCCAAGAGAAGAATAAATTTCTTATCAGATAATCAATGTGAAAACATCCGACGTCTTCCATCGTTTAGGAGGTAAAAAGAGAAGTACATATTTAACACATCTTATAAAAGAGTTTGGGGCAAAATAAGGGATCTCAGACCCAGTTATGTTTGAAGTGGGTAGAGGGAAAAGTAACTTCTTTGTTTAGAGCAAAATAAAACACTCTTGTTTTTAATTGAGACATTTCTTTGTTGGATTTGAACACTTGGCATAAAGAAAAATATTTTTACAAGGGGACGTAATTTGCAGGTTCTCCAGAGTCACTTTTTATAAATAACATTTCCTGTTTCTGGAGTTTATGGCTTTTGTTTATTATTAGACCCCTAGACTGTGAAATGCAGCTGATTTAAGGAGTTAAAAATGACCGTCAACCATGACTGTCATCTTGAACTTATGTTTGAGAAGAAATAAAAAGAATGTGGCCACCAATCTACGTAGTTCTTTTTTTCCATATACTATTCAAATATTTAGAATTCTAATTTTCTCTTTTTGTGTATGGGATGGTAAAAATTTTAGGTACGTGGAAAAGCAAGCTTCAGAAAAGCAAGTTGCACTGTTGACCAATGAGAGATTTTTGAAGGTAGGAATATGGATATATTTGTTTCAGTGTTATTCTCTTTTTCTTCTTCATGGAAAAGAACACGCACATAAAATTTATTGAGTTAATTTTATTTAAAAAAATTCGTACATCCTAATATGCTTTGCACAATGAAGTATTGGATCTTGATAATTGTATAGGAATGTGACTATTAAAGGTGACACAAAACTTCAGTTCTAAAAGGAAGACTTTTTTTTTAAATCAAGTAATAAAACTGGCACATGAGGTTTCTCCTGTGGTCTATTTTGAAAACACTTGCGGGTCTCAGCTTTCTTTCCACTTAGCAGTTTTGGAATCTGTAGGCGGTCTCATTTTAGTGTTCTTGTAAAGGCTGTCATAAATAAAAACACATAGAAGCCATGCAGCTTAGAGACCCACTGCTAAGTGGGTATTGATTTGATTTGAAAAAAATGTCATTACATATTGATAATATAGTGCCGGGAAAGAAGTAATGAGCTTAGAAAATGATGAGTTAGCCATACAACATAGGGAATATCAAAAGAGGGAGGTTTTTTTCCTTCTAAAATAAATAATACTTGGACATGGTACATAATTCAAAAGGCAAAGTTAATATACAGTGAAAAGACTCCCTTCCACCTTTGTTCTCCAACTACCCACTTACCCTCCCTGGATACAGCCAGTGTTACTAGTTTCTTATGTATTATTCTAGAGATATTCTCCACATATACAAGTAATTATATATATTTTGGGGATTTACTCCTCTGTCTTACAGAAGATAAGTATGTATACTATTCTGTACCTTGTTTTGTTTTGCACTTAATCTTGGAAATCATTTTATATCAGTACTAAAGAGTGGCATTGTATTATTATTTTTGTAGATTACCTTTTTTTGTTGTGTTATAGTTGATATACAATATTATATAAGTTTCAGGTGTACACCATACAGTGATTCACAATTTTTAAAGGCTATACTCCGTTTATAGTTATTATAAAATATTGGCCATATTCCCTGTGTTGTACAATATATCCTAGTAGCTTATTTATTTTATATATAGTAGTTTGTACCTCTTAATCCCCTACCCCTGTCCTGCCCCTACGCGCTACCCTTACCCTACTGGTAACCGTATCTGTGAGTCTGTTTCTTTTTTGTTATATTCACGAGTTTGTTTTATTTTTTAGATTCTACATAAGTGATATCATACAGTATTTGTCTTTGTCAGACATATTTCACTCAGCATAATACCCTCCAAGTCGATCCATGTTGTTGCAAATGGTAAAATTTCATTCTTTCTTATGGTTGAGTAGTATTCCCACTGTATATATATTCACCACATCTTCTTTATCCAGTCATCTGTTGATGGACACTTAGGTGCCAATATATTGGCAATTGTAAATAATGCTGCTATGAACATTGGGTGCATGTATCTTTTCAAATTAGTGTTTTTGGTTTTTTCCGATATATATCCAGGAGTGGAATTGCTGGGTCATATGGTAGTTCTATTTTTAGTTTTTTGAGAACCCTCCATACTGCTTTCCACAGTGGCTGAACCAATTTACATTCCCACCAACAGTGTATGAGGTGGTTAGCTTTTCTCCGCATCCTTGCCAACATTTGTGTTCTTTTTGATGATAGACATTCTGATAGGTATGAGGTGATATCTCATTGTGGTTTTGATTTTCATTTTCTGGATGATTAGCAATGTTGAGCGTCTTTGCATGTGCCTGTTGGCTACCTGCATTTCCTCTTTGGAAAAATGTCTATTCAGTTCTGCCCATTTTTTAATCAGGTTGTTCGTTTTTTGAAGTTGCGTTATGTGAGCTGTTTATATATGCTGGATATTAATCCCTTATCAGTAATATAATTTGCAAATATTTACTCCCATTCAGTAAGTTGTCTTTTTATTTTGTTGATGGTTTCCTTTGCTGTGCAAAAGATTTTAAGTTTAATTAGGTCCCATTTGTTTATTTTTGCTTTTGTTTCCTTTGCCTTAGGAGACAGAGCCAAACAAATATTGCTGCGAATTGTCAGAGTGTTCTGTCTATGTGTTCTTCTAGGAGTTTTTTGGGTTTCAGTCTTACATTTAGGTCTTTAATCCATTTTGAGTTTATTTTTGTATGTGGTGTTATAGAATGTTCTAGTTTTATTCTTTTACATGTAGTTGTAAGAGTGGCATCATATTTTATTGAATGAATTTACCTTCATTTATTTAACAAGTCCCTTACAATTAGAATGCATAATGTCACACTTATTTTCATACTCTTTATAACTTTTTAAGGAAAAAGTTATTAGAAAATTGTAATAAAATTAAGATGAGATTGAAGTTAAGCCCTAGTGCTCTGTGGGTTTTACTGATACAAACTATTTTCAAATTTTGAATAAAAGAATATTAGTTCCTAGAGGGCATGTGTTCTATATAGGTAAATACTAATTTACCTCTTTTTTTTTAATAAATGTATTTATTTTTGGCTGCATTGGGTCTTCATTGCTGCACGCAACGAATTATGGCATACATAATTACAATGGAGAATGGCTTTTATTAAATGTTATTTCTGAGGCAGAATCCACACTGAGCTATAATATATAATCACTTCTAGATTGGGTTTAATAATCATTTTAATAATCTCTGTAATCTTTTCAGAGCAGTATAGGAAGTCTTCAAACCCTATTTCAGTAGAGAAGAAACTTAAGAACCAGTGGGAGAGGATGTGTGCATTTTATTGAGTTTTTCAAGATTAGGTAGATTAGCTCTGTGCTGAGTCAGCTAGTTGCCAAGTGCATTTCCTGCTAGAACTTTCTGTCAAGAGTATTTTCAGAAGCCAGGAATAGATTTTTTTTAATTAATTAATTTTATTTATTTATTTTTGGCTGTGTTGGGTCTTCATTGCTGTGCAGGCTTTCTCTAGTTGCCGTGAGCAGGGGCTACTCTTCCTTGGGTGCACGGGCTTCTCATTGTGGTGGCTTCTTTTGTTATAGAGCACGGGCTCTAGGCACGCGGGCTTCAGTAGTTGTGGTGCGCGGGCTCTAGAGCGCAGGCTCGGTACTTGTGGCACACGGGCTTAGTTGCTCCATGGCATGTGGGATCTTCTTGGAACAGGGCTCGAACCGTGTCCCCTGCGTTGGCAGGCAGATTCTTAACCACTGTGCCACCAGGGAAGTCTTAAGGAATAGATTTTTAAAGAGTACCTTTAACCATTGAGATAACAAAGGGAGAGAATGTCTAGGCTGGTCTGTTACAGAAATAGCCTGACATTTAGCTTTGCTTTTCTGTAACTTTTTGTGTATTTTCTAAGCATTTATTTATGCTGTGCTTGTATTTGTTGCACTTATCAGCCTTATTTCTTATTATCCTTGCTGTATTCATTTTGGGATCGCATATTTGATCATTTAGAGGCATATTTTCTTGAGACTTACATAGTAAGAAATATGAAGGAGCACAAAGATTTGTACCCTTAACCTGAAAAGGTCATCTGCAGGCTACCTGGTAAATTCAAAAGACAGAAGATATCTCTGAAAAAAATCAATCAATATGTCTGTTGATTTTTCTGGTTTAGAGCAAAAGTATCTTTGACTATTTTATTCTTATAATGCTTTTCTTTTTCTCTTTTTATAGTTTTGTTTTAAAATACATGATAATTTTATGTATATTTTTCTATAATAAAAAAAATTAAAAGAAACTCCATATGATAATCAGTAATATGGTACTGCACGATACAGGGGGAGATCCTGATCTTGACCTCAGAAATCTTGGTTTGAACTCTAGCTGCTCCTCGATGTGTACTTGAGGAAATCAGTTACCCTATTTAAGCCTCAATTTCCTTATCTCTGAAATTGGATGATAATTTCTTAGTATGATTTCCTCATAGGAATTAGTGATAATCAAAGCCTGTTCAGCAAGTGAGAGTGAGTTAAAAACAAATAGAACAATAAAACTTATAAATATAAATCATATTGTTACTATTTATTTTTCACTATAATAAAAATTAAGATCAATATAAATATACTGTTTTATATATTCTATAACATACATACTATATATAATACTCTGTTATACAGTCATATAGATTATATAGTTATATAGACTTACCTACTGTTAGAATTGATCATTTTGTACCCATTTTCTACATTCAGATTTCTAAGACATAGACCTCATCGTGTTATTGAGAGAAATTTATACTCTTTATATCAAGATTGTCTCTGCCCTAAAAGTCTAGTTTGCTTTCTACTCTGATAAACTAAATGAGTGATTCTCAGACCTTAGCATACATCAGAATCACTTGGAGGACTTGTTAAAACAGAGATATCTGGGCTCCATCCCCAGAGTTTCTGATTTTGTAGTCTTGTGCTGGGCCCCAGGAATTTGCATTTTAGCAAGGTCCCAGATAATGCTGATGCTGCTGGTCTGGAGACCATTCTTTAAGAACCACTGAATTAGACTGACTCCCTAGAAGGAAGCATTATTTATTGTTTCCCTTACCCTGTTTTCTTAAGTGTAGAACTAAGCTACTAAATTTCAACCTAAACAAATTATTCACCTCAATTATCCTCTGACTGGAATCAAGATGTAAAAAAAACCCCAAAAAGACAAAAAAAACTTCAACTCCCTTAAAATTATGGACCCTTAGTTTCATAGATACTGCTTTGAAATTGTGTACCAGCTTTGTATTTCGTAAACTTAAGGAATGAATTTTTTTAATGTACTTGTAAGTTTAAAAATTTAGCTAACCCAATCATGTACATTTGTAGAAGATTCACTAAGAAGTTCAAACTAAGGTGGGACCTTAGAATCTTTACTCTTTCATCATACAGCTGATGAAAAAGTAATGATTCTGTGCATTTTCTCATTTCTGAGTAGTCTGTCCTTGAACAGTTGTACAGTGCAGCTGGGTACAATGGCCAGAACGTGTACTCTGATAATCAACAATCAAGTTCTTCTAAGTTTAAGCAGAATAAGCTTGCTCAAGCTCCCATTAATTCAAACTTCTGATAACTCAGTAGCTTTCAAAGCCTTCAATAGAAGTTT